TGTCAAACCAAACCGAAAGAAACAAGGAGTTGTTTCCCGGCTAACCTTAAAAATTCATAAAACAAAAATATGCTCATATCTTATTGAGGTGCTGTTATCCCTTACGGTACACGCACAGCTTCCGTTTAATTTTCTATTAGAAACGTCCGTAATATTCAACACTGAAAAAAAAGGAATCTTAAATTTGCCGCCAAGAGGTATTTTCTCTTGAGTGAAGAATTTTGCCGCTTAGCGTTAGCTACTTCCTTGCGTAACCCAATATTTTTTTTCATGCATCAATAAAAATTCAGCTTAAATCAATATAAAACAAATTCTTGGCGGAAAATTCGAGAATCATCATGCGCGAGCAGCAAGCACATTTTTTTCAGTGAATAAGAAAATGAACACATAAAAAAAGTGCTGAAAATCGAGTATTTTTAGCACGCAAATACGAGATATAATTCATGAATAAGGATGATCAATTGGACTGCACTTTGCAATTTGGAACTATAAATTTTGGCTCTTCTGGATAAACACTTATGTGCATAGGGAAACAAATGGCAATTACGTTGTTTTTAAACCGGGCTAGAATTTATACTTCTAAATTGCAAAATGTAGTCCAATTGTACTTTATTAAACGGCCCAACACCCGAGGTATTTAAAGCATCGGGTTTTATCGGTGAAGTGATGAAGCTAATACGCGTAGAAAAGCGAGTGACTGTATTTGTTCAAGGAACAGCGATATAGATCAAACGATGGAGATAGTTAAAAAGGGGTCGTTCAAATGTTTGCTCTATCATGTTTCTAATTCCCCCATTCGTACCCTCCGGGCAGTGTGAGCACCTTCGACGACAGCCGATTCTCGGCTCGTTTTTTAGTTCAGCTGACAGTGCAGTGGAGCAAGACGGGGGTCAATGATGACTCGACTCCGCCTTATTTGCAGTTCCATGCATCCACGTTGTCACGTTCCTAAAGAAAATAACGTTGGTGGTTGTAATCGGGTGAGGTAACTTTTATGTTGAACCTCCAATTTGATCACCATTCTGCTGTGCTACGCAGAAACGCCGTAAATCCATCAAGATTTTCCCTCGTTTTTGGAATTTAACACTTTCTAAAATAAAAACTGTTTGACCCCCTGCACCTCAAATTTTCAGGTCAAGTTTTTCATAGTATTTGAGAAAGAATTCTGTACAAACATTGTCCCAAGGTACACAAGTTTTTCTGCGATGATACATTGTTTCCAAAAAATGAAAAATGGCGTTTACGGCGTTTATGCGTTGCACGGCAACATTTGGAGGGATCGAAAGAGTTCAAAGCCACTTTTTGACGTACTGAGGTAAAATCACCGATAAACAATTATTTTTGAAGACCCATCTAAAGAAATACAAAATTTGCGAAAATAAAATTTTACAGATCCACGGGGGAATTCGTCTCGCTCCTCTCTTAATTTTTGGCAATTTTCCAAGAATGGACTGAATCTTTTTTTATTTTTTTTTGGTACACTTTAAAATCCCTCGCTGGGGTCTCTTACGCTTTACAGGTCTGCCGTGCAACGCAACAACGCCGTAAACGCCATTTTAAAGTTTTTGAAAACAATGGATCTTAGCAGAAAAACTTGCGTACCTTGAGATATTTTTTTTTTACAGAATTCTTTTGCAAATTCTATCAAGAACTTAACCTGAAAAAATGAGGCGCATGGGTAAAACACTTTTTTATTTTATAAATTGTTAAGTTCCAAAAAACGCGGGAAAATCTTGACGGATTTACGGCGTTCTTGCTTAGCACGGCAGAGGTATGTTCGGATCTCCATGCATCCATATAACTCTTTAACCAGCCTTAGGCAATCATCCTTTGAGACCATTAAACTGAAGGAGCCTGGTCGGGAATCGAACCCGAGACTTCCTGATTAAAAAGCATAGATTATCTGGCAAAAATGGTACACTCACTGATTTTTAGGAAAACCTTATGATTCACTACCTTTCCATTTCATCAAAATAATATCACGTAATCATTATGAACGATCAGAAAATTTTTCGAGAGGTGCCCTTCTGACAAATTTGCCTTCACAATGTTCCTGAGTTAGAGAGTTAGACCATTAATCACAAAGGTCGGACGAATCATGAACAAGGTGCGTGTCAAAGTTCAGAGCAAAAAGCGAGGATAATATTCCTGAGATTGCCACCTGTTGTATTACTGTCGAAACCATACCAAAATGATACCAAATGATGATCGCCGCATTGTTCTCGGATGTGGTTGATGATGACATGCACCGTTTAAGGGATCCGAACGCAAAAAGCGCATCTCCGAACAAATATCGAACTGAGCATTAGAAATTTACGTTTCAACTCACGACACACAATTTGAAGTATGTTCATCGCTCCGAAATCCATACTTCAAAATGTAAGTTGAAATTTCTGTTAAATCACTTGAAACCATTAGAATTCGGTAGTAGGTATATCATTACAAGCGAAGGCGAATAAAGAAAGGTGGTCGCATTTCGAGTTGAGCCGCCATTTTAAAGGCTGTGACGCGCAAAAGGTACATGCTTTGTCCTGCAATCAGGATGCACCCGAAACGTACCTGTTGCCGTGTGACGTCAAGAGGGTGCGAAATGCGACTACCATTCTTCATCCACCTTGATTACAAGCAATGTCTTCGTAAAGTTGTTAACTCAATGGGATGCATTTCAGGTATCATAAAGTACCTATGAGACCTTTTTTTCTCATATAGGTACATTAAGTATCCTCTTTTACAGAAAATTGCTGCGACCTCTGAGTAGAGTATTGAAATTTATAGACAAAGCGATAGACAAAGAAGGCATAGGGAGTATGGAGTGATCTTATAGGTCAGAATGAGTGGTTTCTATATGTAGACTAAGGGAAAAAAATATGGACTATAATTATACGGTCACACGTGGGTTGCCGTTAGTTAGTCCATTACCTACATCCTTTGTCAATTAATTGCAACCATCCGCTTCCACCAATTGGATCTCTCCATATCCTTTATGTCTTCTTTGTTTATGGCTTTGTCTATCAATTGCAATAATCGGCCCGATGTTCCTGTTTTATTCACAATTCAAACACTCACTGGAAACTGTCATGGAACTTACCGTTTCGTTCGTTTTCAAAAGTGACATTAAAAAACCATGTAGACGCACTCCTGGTCCTCTTCATTGAGAGAGGAGAAACAATTCTTTGAGAAAATGAATACAAATTATTTGAAAGAAAGGAAGAGAAGGCGGAAGAGGGAGGAGAAAGAGTAAGAGAGGATGCGGTGAAATTCTGAGGGTGAAGTTATGCACACTTTTTGTCTACAATTTGCACGAAGCACTACGGTGTCTTAATTTACATTCTCGAGATACGCGGTAACTAAGGAAGCGGTTGTTCAAGTGATTTTAAATTATCGCTGCAATCTTTACAGATGGTGTTCATCTAGACGTTCGCCACAAAAAACTCCAGCACCGCGTTTGCAAATCCTTTTTGAGAGACGATGGTTCCCCATCTTGCGCTCACCTTGAAAATTTATTTGAAAACTTCTCGTTTAATTGATTTACTCTTTCTACTCAAACAAAATCCTACCAAATTTAAATTGATTGTTTCTTGCCTCTACCTCGACGTCTTTTGAGACAAAAAATTATTCTAACGCAATAAAAATACAAATATAAGTATCAGTATTGGTCTCACGTCTATTTTGAGGGGCGAAACCACTAAACATGTGCCTCTAGCAAAACATGCATTTTATAGCATGTTAGGGATTTTCTTGGTGAATACAACCAAAAAATGTCATGGCAAGCCTTTTATGGCTTAAAATTGACCCCATTTATTACAAAATATCAGCGGTCTTTCTTAAATGAAAATCTTAATGCCTTGGTTAGGAATTAATTTCAGTAATAACCTATTTTATGTTGCGAATCGTGTTAGATGTTAGACTTTGAAGAGGAAGCATTAGAATGCTCAAGATGGATCCTTAACTTTGGCGCAAAGTTGAGTACGATCGAAGTTTTTAAAATTTGTAAATTTTGAGAAAATCGTAAACTCACTTTCTAGATCAATCGTTAAGAAATATGCATGCCGAATATCATCAAAAGTTTAAAAATTAAGTCAAAAGCTCTGTCTCCAATGAGCCAACTATGAACTATATATACATTGAAGCCTGTTGCAAAATGGGAACATTATTTTTGGCATTATCTTAAGATTTCGGAAGATAATTGTTGGCACCCACATTCCTTAATGATTAGTCCAGAGACTGAAATTCCAATTTTCCAAAATAATCCACGTAATGGTTAGAATTTGAAATACATCGATACCCAGGGTGTATTGCGCAAATTCCGAGGATCTCTACTCTTTCTCTGAGCAAGCTCGATCTTCTACACGATTGGTTCAAAATAAGTAAAACATTGGGGAAAAAAACACATTGAATCTAGAGTCCAGACTCGTAAAAACATCGACAAGAAACAATACTCTTGATTCAATCGGATTTTTGCTTGAATCAAGAACAAAGCCTCTTAATTTGAGCGGGTTTCCTTTCGATTTAAGCAAAAATCTGATCGAATCAAGAGTATTTTTTCTTGTCAATGTTTTCAAGAGTCTGGACTCTAGATCCAATGTGTTTTTTTTCCAGTGAACACTGTAATTGGACTGAGTTAAGCAGAAAGGAACCAACCCACATTTTGGAACAAATTGAGTTATGAATGGTTTTGAACTCAACCACTGCTCTACTATCTATCGCCGAAAATTCAAAGTTTTTGTTGGAGCAAATTTTACAGAAATTGAACTTGAAGTTTATCTTTGACATTGATTCTTATACAGGAGCCAAACTTTAAACCTCTTTTTCTCGGTTCGATCCCGATGTGGCTTGGTTCTTTTCTGTTTAACTCCGTCCAATTAGCATCTATTTTCCACGCGAGAACATTCCATTGCAGATTTTTGCATGAAATGCGCGAATCGCGAGCGGACCAAAAGGATTTGCAAAGCGGGTGCCTCTGTGTGCAGTTTTTGTGCCATAGTTGAGAAGTGTCTTACAAATGCGTGTAGCGGGTTCAAATTGAGATGGACATGATCTGAGGAGCTCATTTCTCGGCCGGCGAGTCACACCATCAATCTACGGCGATCCGTCTCGATCCCGGAGCCTTACACGCTCCCGGGCATCCCGTCTGCCGCTCCCGGCTCTCGAAAACTCCCGCTAGGACTTTAAAGCTCCTCTCCGAAAGCCCATCCTCACGACCTGCAAACTTTTCAACGAAAAAAAAAATCATCATTCTGAGAGAGAAGTTTCAGCTCTGACGTTTGGAGCTAAAAAGCCACACAGAGAAATATTTCCAAGACTGCCCAGCTGGATTCCAATCAGAGCAGTGTTCGAAACTCGCCTTCGAGTTTCAGGAGCTATGTGGCGCAACGAGCTCAATTTTTAGGGGCCATTGAAGATTTTTTAGGGGCCGGATTGACGTTTTGCCTATATATCACGGTGCATTTAGTGAAAAGTTAGACGCAAGATGTTTTAGTTACAGAACTAGTAACTGTAACATGGGGGAAATTTCGAAAAATCACCAAATATAAAAATTAGGATTTTTTAGGGGGGGGGGCAATTTTTAGGGGCCACGTTGGCGCAGTGCCTTCATTTTTTGGCGCCATGACCGATTACTTTAGGCGCATTTGGCGCGTTGGCGCCTGTGAGTTTCGAGCACTGAATCAGAGTATAAGTCCGTATCTTTCAATGCTTTCCGCACAGGAATTCTTTACACTGGTTTTCCTATCAATGAAACTGGACTATGTCGGTTAAGGTAAGCGTAGATACAAATTTTGGTAGAGCAGCCCGAGACAATGGTAACAGAAGAAAAACAAGGGGGAAAAACGGGAAACCAGGCTAAAACACGCGATAAAGCACCCAAGACGTTTCGACTTCAAGCTGAGTCATTTTCAGTCGGAATAATACAATAAAAATTAAAAAATATCGATGAAAACACCTGAGTCCTACATGGACTAAAATTGACTCAGTTTAGAGCCAAAACGTTCGGGTGTTTTATAGTATATTTCAGCCTTCTTTCCCGTCTCCACCCCCCTTTGTTTTTCTTCTATTAAGGTAAGCGGAGAGTTGGGACTATTGATAGCGTGTCGTTTGACTGCTGGCAGATTTCCTGTTATCTTGAACATTCGGTTAAAAATTTCCGTCTTTGATGTCACCTCGTGTTACTTTGTGTTACTTTTTTGTGTTAGGTCAACCTACACGGAAAAAATAAGGCAGTCGACACAACCAGTAGCTGGTTAAAAATGCGCCAGCTATCGTGCGGTAGTTACGATAACTACCGCGGTGGAGGTCACATGGTCACAACTAACCCGGTAGTTATCGTAACTACTGCACGGTAGCTGGTGCATTTTTAACCAGCCGCTGGTTGTGTTGACTACCCTATAATTTCCGTTTAAAGGACTTTGTGCTCAACACATTTTAGTGTTTCAGCCCTAATTATACACAGCAATGAACCATTTAATCCATAGAAAATGCTGCAAAAATAAAATTACATAAAAAACCAAGCTACCACAAAGTACTTTACAACTTCATGTCCGATTGGCAAGGAAAAAGCAAATGAAAGAGAGAAAACAAGGAAAAATGAGGTGTCAATTTCTTCTGTTGCGAAATCGAGATTCATTTCGCGAACCGTGTCCGGTTTCCCAATGACCGCGGTCAACGGATCATTTTTCCTTGTCCTCACCCCTTCATTCAATTTTTCCTTGCCGGTTGAAAATCAAGTCGTAAACTTATAATTCGAAACGTTTCGGGATTTTAATATCGTTTTTAGTTTGCAACCTTTTCCCCGGATTAAGTTGTTTTTTAGTGTGTATTTATCAAACTTATTAATTTGAGTATCATTATCTATTTTTTTAGCGGATCATTTTTCCTTGTCCTTGCCCCTTCATTCAATTTTTCTTGCCGGTTGAAAATCAAGTCGTAAACTTATAATTCGAAAAGTCCCGGGATTTTAATATCGTTTTGAGTTTGCAGCCTTTTCCCCGGATTTAGTTGGTTTTTAGTGTTTCCTTATCAAAATTATTAATTTGAGTATCATTATCTATTCATTCTAATTCTTATTTATTCAGAGATATAAATTTTATGGAGAGGGCGCAGACGTTAACGGTTAACGAGGATAAAGATTTGGAAATAAGAAGTAAAAAATAGATGAATGTATGAAAAATAGTTCAGGCAGGCCGGATTTACCTGCTTGCCGCCCATGGGCCGCCTGTATTTTGCCGCCCCCTTCTCATTCGTTTTGAAACATCAATAAAAACCATCAAGTGAACGTGCCAGCGGGGGTAGGGTGCATTAGACCCTTTAATTCGCGTTGGAAACATTTTTTGGGAAAACCCTGTCAACACCACTGGCAAAAATTCACCGAACTTTGCGCGAACGTTAAGTTTCGTAAACCTATCTCTGCGTTGACAAGGCCTTCCATTCATAAGAAATGAACGAAAAAAATATGAAAGAACAAACATAAATGTGGTTTACTGATTTTAACTTCCGCCGCCGCGCCGCGCAGACCGCACCGTGTTGGAGCAATGCGTGAAGTATTCCGACAGTTTTGTAGGCGCTATGAGTTTCACGCCGACGACCGCTGCTGAACACACTGTGTTTGACGCAATGCGTGAAATATTCACGCAGTCTTGTAGGCGCTATGCATTCCACGCTGACCGCACTGTGTTTGGCGCAATGCGTGAAGTATTCATGCATTCTTGTAGGCGCTATCCGTTTCACGCTGACCGCGCGCAGTGACCGCACTGCGCGGTTTTGATGCAATGCGTGAAGTATTCAAGCAGTCTCGTGGGAATGTAGGCGCTAATATGTGTTACATGCCGACCGCCGCACCAAGAGCTTCTCCTTTTCATCTCAAGTCCTCGTCATCATTTCTCTCTCAGTCAGGCCACAGTTTTTCTTTAGATTAGAGAATGAACAAAAATGGAATTCATCCTTCTTTCAGGTAACCTTAATTTCTTTGATGCGTATTCAAGAGAATACAGGTTTAACAGGAAGCAGCCTAGTCATAGAAAATCGTACGAAAATGGTTTTGAAATTTCAATAAAAATGCGTACTAAAAAGCCAGTTGAAAAACTAAAACCACTTACCGCTCATTAATTATTCTTTTTTCGACGCTTCTCCTCTTCATTTTCCCATTTTGAAGGGCTTGAAGCGACCCTTGAAGATGAGCAAATGAGCCCGAAACTCGTCGGGAACAGAATAATTAACGAGCAGTGAGTGGCCTTAGATTTTCATCTCACTCTCCAGTATTATTTTTAAATTCATCTCGTGTCAGTGTTTTGAAATTTCTAAAATATATTTTATCCTTCAAATTGCGTTTTTACTTTTATTGTAACTTCATTGTACAAATAAGTTCGTTTGCTCAACCTTTGCTCGATACGTTTTTTTTTCTTCTCCAGAAGGAAGTTACTCAATCAAAGATGAATCGTACAGAGTATGCAAAATCTCGTGAGAATATTCTAAACTTATTTAAAAATAATACTAGAAGAAACGATGCCGTTACTTTCTTACCCTGAAAATTGTGTATTTGTTCCAATGCAACAGGTTGGATGGATTCCAACGACTTCAGTGTTTATGGACGAACGACTGAGTTTGAATTTTACAACATGGCGTTGTTCTTATATGTGTCGCAGGCAAATAGTAAAATCAGGCATTTTGTCAAATACCTAGGCAAATAGTCAAATATTCTAACTCAGATTGAAATTCTGATTCTTTTCCTAATTTCAGACAAAATAATTTATTGCTCCTGCAAGAAAAAATGCTCAGTAGAAATTTGCGCACACAATAGTATTTTAAACAATTTCTAGCTCCTGAAGAGACACTGATCTTGAAATTTTCAGCATGTCAGAGAATACAGCATTTTTAGAATTTCAACATTTGAAAATATGAGAGGCAATTGAAGAGGAAGAGACAAAAAGAGTTCGTAGGTTTGATGGTTTATTTTTCCAAAAATAGTGAAAAATCGTGAACTATTCGCCACAAATTCACAAAATTTTGTATACCGTCAAATTTTGACTATCTGCCTAGGCATTTGACAGAATGCCTGATTTCACTATTTGCGTGCGACGTATACAGTGCATTGTAAGTTCATGAATTAAATGACTATGAGGGCAAATGTTTTACTTTTTCCCAGATAAGAAATATGAATTTGATAATTTTGAAAATAATGACAATATACAGGGTCATTCAAAAGTCACGCACCACTGGCCATAACTTTAGTTCTAATATGATATCGATTTGCGGTTTAAGACGTTTTTCCTCGTATCGAGGGGGACAATTTTTTAGGTAATTTCCAGTTTTTGATCCCCTCGGAGGGAGGGGGCGCGCGGCCGGGCAACTCAAAAATTTTAAATGGCCACCTCCCCCCTCATGGCCAGTGGTGCGTGACTTTTGAATGACCCTGTATGTGGAGATACAAATAAATCATGTACCGATGTCCAATCTATCCGATCTACATCACTACTAAAAATTCAACTTACTTCAATTTGAGCATTTTTCCATCATTTTTTGTATCTCATCTAAAGGAAGCCTCTAAATATTCTATGATAATTACTAATTTTTGTCTTTTAAAATACAGAATCTGTACTTACAAATATTGCGAGGTCCATCAAGATCCACTGGAAAAAAAACACATTGGATCTAGAGTCCAGACTCATAAAAACATCGACAAGAAAATTTAATCTTGATTCAATCAGAATCTAGCTTAAATCAAGAACCAAGCCTCTTAATTTAAGTGGATTTCGTTTCGATTCAAGCAAAAATCCGATTGAATCAAGAGTATTTTTTCTTGTCAATGTTTTCAAGAGTCTGGACTCTAGATCCAATGTGTTTTTTTTCCTGTGTACATATTCACCGGTTTTAACATCGATATAACATTCGACCTCGAGACTTTCATTTCAGTCACTATTTCCCATTTTCTTGATAAACCGGTGAAAATCTGCGTTTCTCTCTTCGATAAAATCCTATTTTGACGGTATTTGCCTGGGATTACGGGCGAAGCCCGTTCCTTGGACCTGCCTGGACCTGTCAACGCTTTGTGTTTCCTCCGCGGGGGATCTCTTTGAGTTTGAGGCCGTCCGGGGTTTTCGATAATCACTGCGGCGGCTTTTCGATTCAGCCCCTCGGCTTGGAAATTTGATTTATCCTGCCCTGAAAACACGGCTGCGAACACTGCCGTGCTAAGGAAGAACGCCGTATGAACTTTCA